GCCGCTGGCGGAGTGCGCCCCCTGCCGGCCGCGCCCGGGGCTGTGCCCGCAGCGGAGGGAAGCCCGGGGGCTCGGAGAAACTGGGGGGGTGCATCTACCACCCCCGATTCTACTCACCTAGGGAAGAGAGGGCAACCTGGCTAAGGTGTAGCTAGCTGGTTTGAATTTCTGAGTGCAGAAACACCTGCGTACACCTGATTTTAAATAATTCTTTTAAGGGAATGTTCCTTTTTCTTTTTAAGAAGGGATTCCTCAGCCTCCGGGCAAACATGCAGTAATTAACAATCCTGTTAGCCAACATTTTTTGTAAGACCTCCACCTTGAAATAAATATCTGCAAGCTTCAACCACACTGTCCCCCTGCAAATGGTTTGAGGAGAAAATGGGGATATGATGCAGAAACTAGAAGTTGAAATATTTCAAATTATCCACATGAACTCCAAAGACAACCTCTATACTGTTTCAAAAAAGCATATGCATGTAAGCAAGGTGCTCCTGATTAAGCTCAGACATAAAAAGGAAACATACAAGATGTGGAAGCAGGGACGGAAGATCCAGGAGGAATACAAAGAAACTGTCCAACACTGCAGGGATGCGGTTGGGAAAGCCAAAGCCCACACTTTGGCAGTTTAATCTGATGTGGGATATGAAAGGTGACAAGAAAGACCTCTGCAAGTATGTAAGCAGTAAAAGGAAAGCTAGGGAAAACACGGACCTGTTCACAGATGGGGCAGAGGCCCCACTGACAAAGGATACAGAAAAGGCCGAGGTATAAATGCCTCCTTCACCTTAGTTTTTAGGACTTTGCCTTGCATGCATTTCTTGAATACTCCTTTGTACTCTTTGCAAAAGTGAAGATAAAACTGAGCCAGACAATACTCCTCCAAAAAGCTGTAGATGAAAAGGGACCTAGGACTTTGATTGAACTGACGCAGCATATACAGCAAGACAATTAATCAGAGACCTGACCTGATGCTCCAACTCTCCTTTGGGAGAAATTTTAAAGTGCCAGACACAGAGTCTGACACGACCTGTGCTTAATTTCCCTGCCTTTAGGGTTCATATCACTGGGGTACAAGATCCAGGCTTACCTCAAGGTGTACAGTTTAATGCCTCTGAAAGCAAACCATCTTCCTGAAGCAGCATATTAATCTATCCAGATCTCGTTGTCCTTTGACTCAGTAGTCTGCCTAAAAATATTCTATTCTATTCTATGCTGCTCTACTCTACAAACAGTCAATGTCAGAAGTTCTGCATAAGAAGCATAAGTTTCCCAAGAGACAGAAAACAGTATCATCCCATTGAGCAGAACAAATTCTTCTTGACTCTTCCCAGGGATCCATATAGTGATGTATGAAAACTGATGGATCCTGAACCATCACTGTAGAAGAAAGCTTCAGCTATAGTGACAGAGGAGCTGTAATAACAAGTAGCCAGTAACAAACCTTTCTAAGCTGCAGTTCAAACTAACTTAACTGACAGAAAAACAAACATAAAGAAAATGTGTCTGCAAGACAGGCTTACTGCAATTCCCAGTCATGCTTTTTGAAACCGCCTGGAACATGCACATCTACGTTTGCCAGGAAGTCGTTCCTTATGAAGTTGTGTTAAAACAACTGCTGAGAGCCAGTCAAAGCAACAGTTCAATTTCCTGAGACAAGGCTGGAGTTAGGCATATACTCCTTTTCTAAACCAACAACGTCTTAATGACGTCCAGCAGTACCAACTGCCACTGGTCAGAGATGGGAAAAAGAAGGATAAAAGAAAGCAGTAGCAGGTCAATTTAACCAAAGCACACCTCACAAAATGAAAGCAAAGACTGATGGCTACTTACTGGTAGTGAGTGAAGCCCAGAGTAGGCAGGTCAGCATACTTCTCAGCAAAGTCGGACAGCCGGCTGATCACCCTTGCGAGCTTGTGGATGCAGGAAGGATAGAAAAGAGAAGAAAAAAAAAAATCACAGCAGAAGCTGGCATGCTTAAGCACCACAACACTGTGAGAAAAGGGGGAGGGAAACAACCACGCAATCCTTGAATACCCCCCTCTCATTGTAGAATATGGTGTGTTTCATTTTTTCAGGGCATGCACCAAATTTCCAGTTGCTAGAAAACTCAAGCAAGAGATGATACAAGTGGTTGGACTTCAGCTCAAACGAGTCTAGTCCTCGTGCCCAACCCAATCCTGCAGTTGGTTTATCCCTCGGTATTTTCTTTATTCCTGGAATTAGTCAGAAATACAGCTGCTTTGAGTATAACTGACACATGTACAGTCCAGGGCAAATTGGGTGCCAAGACATTCAGGTCAGATACACAACACTGCACTATAATCCCACTTCATTTGACCTCAGAAAATTGTATTATATAGCTGCTTGAATGCTGACACACTCCTAGGAATATACTTAAGGGGATGCATAAATTGACCCTGAAAGCAATACAGTTGTTTTCTGAAACTAGTACCTGTGGCACAGATAAACAAGGAGTTGCTTATAATTCCCATAGTGAGCAAAGAAGCTTTGGGGAAAGACACGAGAAAGGCAAGGAAGACAACTGTTCACTTTCTTGCGAATAACCCAAACAGATAGTTCCTCCTAGCTTCCCAGCAAGGCTTAGGAAAAAACAAGTTAATGTCCTATTCACAGGACATCAGCGCTGCCCACTTCTGGGACACTGTGCCCAACTGCCTTCTCACCTTGGGTAGCAGCAGGTTAAACCCATCACGGAGGACAATCAGATCCTGAAAGAAGCAAAGAAAGGAAGTTTGGGCCATGTCTGAAGGACCAGACATAACAGCTTCTCTCAGAAAGGAGACAGATAATTAAAACATGCTTTGTCCGCTCAAAAGTCTCTTCTTAAAATGAGAGCTCTGCTCTCCTTCTTGTAACAGAATTTGCAGTGAACTTGCTTATAACAAAATGCTGGATCCATCATTGCTCCTTCTACACTATCCACAGAAAGTCATATGGGGCAGTAGAAGACCTGTTTGCACTGACTGGGTATGAGTGATTATTTTGAGATACCCAGGATGACCATGGAATGACAGACTAAATCATTCATCACAAGTGGAAAATGCAGACACCGTAGATTAAAGACAGCAGGAAAGTAAGTGGACTGATCAGGCAGCAGTCGTCTTTACTCTTTCTTTTGAGACTGAGGCAGGCAAGTGTCACAAGAAAGGTGGTATTACCTAAAAGCCAAACAGACTTGCAAAGGAGTAGGGTAAAAATAATCATGCAGCAGCTTCTTGTACAACAAAAGCCGTTGTGAAGTTGTAATGACTTGGACACAGGCAAACAGCAATACGTACCAAGAAATTAGGCTTTAGTTTGCACTCAGTTTTAGACAGGTTTTTCACAAACATTTTACAGTTCTGCAGAATGGTGGTACTTCCTTTTTCACTTAACACACTTATCTATTCTCTTGGCCACTGAAAAGCTTTATTTACCCTGAATTAATAATTCCGAGCAGCAGTTGAAAGTTAATGGGCTGCATATATCAAAAGTGGCCTTGTTTTGTAAGTCAGTGAACTCTTGTCCCATTGGCATAACTGACAGTTCACACGTTTCTGCGTGCATTTGCAACTCAGGATCTCTTATCTCCTTGAATATTTAACATGCAAGCAGAGCTTAGGGAACAGTTAGTTTCCAGACAGATCTTGCTTCATATCAAAGGAAAGAAGGCAAGAGGAGCTTGCCTTCCCAGGTTAGCTATAATAAAGGAGAATTAACTTCAACAGTAAAACTAATAAAAATGTCTGAAAAATATATTTAATATTATTTTAAAGAGAAAAGTTTATAAAGAGCTATCAAATAAGCAACTGTAGCTTTGTTTTGCCCAGCTCTGCAGGCAGGAAACTGAAAATATTGCATTACCGTATTATCCCCTACGTAACAGGAAGTTGCTCCAAGGTGAATGATGGCTGCAGCTTTTGGACAGCAGTGGGCAAAGGTGTGAACGTGGGCCATCACATCATGACGCAGCTTCTTCTCTTCCTCCGCTGCCATCTTGAAGTCAATGTTGTCCAGATTTGCTTTCATCTCCTGTATCTGCTCCTCTGTGATAGGAAGCCCAAGTGACTGCAAGGGGGAAAGAACTTTCTATTTATTTTTGTCTTTAAGACACAACCCAAATTGAGACAGAAGCTATTTAGATAATTTACTCCCATATGACATCTCATGGAAGCACAGCAATTTGGCATAATCAAGAGCTGTAATAGCAAGCACTTCCATTCTAGGGTTCTCCAACCTTTTCCAATAGGATAGGACAATGTTCATGCTTAGAAGTTCTTCTTGGGCTTAATACTTTCCTCAACCATGTAACATCCCTGTGACAACTACAAAAATCAGACATGTGCAAAAGTGATATAAAAAAAGTAAAGTTTTAATTTCTTCTATTGAAATTTACCCTTTAGGTAATGAACATCCAGCTACTATGTAACAAGATAGCTTGTGTCAGGGACAACTCTTTGGACCACAACTAGACCTACACAACTGTAAACAACAGGCTTAGAACATACTGAAAGGTACAAACGTTTGTATCTTTCCAAAGTCCTAAAGTACTTCATCTCCGTCTGAATCTGAAAGCTTGGGAAATCAGTTACTTGATCTGGAACCAGAAGATAAAAGCTCCTAGTTCATGTTCAAAAATAGTTGCAAAACCTTTTCAGCAAGCTGACTTAAAAACAGAGTAAGATATCAAGCCACAGAATTATACACTGGTATAAGTCTTGCACAGCTCTATACTTGCACAAGCTAACTAAGCTGAGAAAAATGTCTTTTCCTGATACTGTGAGTTTAGAAGTCTCACAATGAACTTGGCGCTACTGCCTTTTCCAAATTAAAATGCAATATGTACCGAGTATTAGTAATTAGAACTCACCAGCCAGGAAGCTTCAAGGATACAAAACACCTCAAAAGCTGGTTCTGTCAGAATCAAACTGACTGAAAAAAATGTTTTGCAGATGTGGAATCTGGAACTAGACAAGACAGCAAGTGAAGCAGATGTGCCTTCAAGATCCTCATCAGATAATTAGTACCCACGCAACTTAAACTATGATGCTGCGAGTGTATACGCAACCGTGAGTGTAGAGATAAAAGAGGAAAAGCACCTGGTCCCACAGTCCTGTCTTTGAGGTGTACCAATAGAGACTGTAACTGCCTGAAAGCTCATAGGCAATTCAGCAGGCAATACACTCTTGTGCCAAGACTAAAATTTCATGCCTTGTTCACACATCCACGATCTGTTGGGAAAAGCTGACCACAGCATGCAGTCATTGACAGCCATACAGAAAGAAAAAATCCCCAAGAAAAGGGACTACTTGCAACAGGAATACATGCAAGGCAGGGTAGTGCCAAGGTGAATGCTGTTCTCGTGCATCCACAGACATCATGTGAGGCCTCTTCCCTATGAGTTTTTGCTGATTGATATTGATAGCACTTTAGGAAGAAAGCAATCAAATGTCCTTCAAACCTACCTACCCACCCTAGAAAACTAAGTAGGAAAACTACCCAGGGGAGAACACAGGGTTTTCTCCAAAGCAACAGAATGAGGGGGAATGGCTTCAAATTGGAAGAGGGGAGACTTAGAATAGATATTAGGAAGAAATGTTTCACTATGAGGGTGGTGAGGCACTGGAACAAACCGCCCAGGAAGTTGTGGAGGTGAATCCCTGGAAGTGTTCAACAACAGGTTGGATGGGGCTTTGAGCAATTTGGTCTAGTGGAAGGTGTCCCCATCCATGGCAGGGGAGTTGGAACCAGATGATCTTTAGAGTCCCTTCCAACCCAAACCATTCTATGATTCAGCGATGTGCTCTCTGGATTGTGCTTTTAAGGTATCATTCCTTTGAGGCTGTTCCAATGCTTTGATGTGCCACCTTAACAACTATGATGGTTCATTCATCTCTATTCCTAAAGGGCAGAGCAGAGCAGGGAGATGACATGGAACATCTCCTGCAAACAGAGGGCTGCTCATCTAATAAAGAATGTATGATGGAAAAATAGTGAAACTTAAATTGGACAAAAAAAAAAAATAGATTGAGGGCTACAATAGGCTCTTACAAGAAAATATATTCAGATTTCACATATGCAAAACATTTTATTAGTCAATTTGATGCTGCAGGATGTCAAAGCTACTTCTACAAGGAGGAAGAGCTCCATGAAATGTGTACTTGACTTTCAAATAACGTTTAGGTCAAGAGCTCAAGATTTGAAAAATAGAATGAAGTTTTAATGGAAGCACTATAATACAAATGAATTTACACACACAAAAAAAAAAACAACATAGATTTTTGGGATGGGTATAAACACACACTTCAGCTCTTAACCCAAACTTTAACCACTGTCATTTTGGAACAGATTAGTTTAAGGAGCTCTCTCTTATTAATCACACACTTTGATGATTCTCCTCTTTCAAATTCAAATCCCTGGTATTGCCTGCTGTAAGGAACAAAATATCAACTGCAAATATTTTCTGTCTAATCCAGTTTTCAGTTAAATAACTTTTCAGTTCTTATTTCACGTATTCCAAGTGGACTACTTGAAAATTTCACAGAATTCACAGAATTCACAGAATTGTTAGGGTTGGAAGGGCCCTCTGGAGATCATCTAGTCCACCCCTCCTGCCAGAGCAGGGTCACCTACAGCACGTTACACAGGACAGCGTCCAGGCGGGTTTTGAATGTCTCCAGAGTGGGAGACTCCACCACCTCTCTGGGCAGCCTGTTCCAGTGCTCCACTACCCTCAAAGTAAAGAAGTTCCTTCTCATGTTAAGATGGAAAATTTCTCACATAAGTAGGGCGAATATTGAAACTATTTGCCTGGCCCTAAACTTTATCACTAAACTGCATGTCACCTCTTCCTAATATTCTGATTTACTACAAAACAAAAGTAATGCCTATACTTCATTCATTACTTTTTTTTTTAATGTACCCAAAAAGAATATTGTGTATCTTCAATAAGCATGATTGGAGACGCAACACATAAACGTCCTGAAAGCGAGGATAACTCCTGGAGAAATAAATTAACTATTGCACATAGTTAATTTATTACTTTTTTTTTTTTTTAATGTACCCAAAAGGAAATACTATGTATCTTATACAAGGAACCTAGGGAAACTGCTTATGTCTGTACCTATCTGACCACTGACAGAGCTAACAGGTGCTGAAAGTAGCTGACTCTTCCTGCTTCAGTCCAAAGCTGACATCAGAAGACAAACTCCTCTGGAACGAGGAGACAGACAAAAATAGTAGCCTCCCTCTTCCCACTACGAAAAGGGTGCTCAAGAAACTGCAAGATCTTTCTCTGCTTTCTGGGAACAACACTCTAGTGAGACAATGGGAGAGAAAGCAAGAAGGATCAAGAGACAGGGATCCTCAAGTTCAGGGCTTGGGAGTGGAAACACAGAAGTCTCACACTGGTTCTTTCTGCACCTTGCTTTCTCCTGTTGGGCAAGTCGTGTAAAGTATTTTGTTCTTGAAAAGAAGAAAAAGTGATGATTATCTGCTAGAATTGATATGACAGTGTTTAAGTTCTAAGGCTTTGAACATACAAAGCTCCTTAAGCATGCATTCGTGGTAATGACATTTCCTATACTAGATGAGATTTGCAGTCTGCTCCCTCCAGCATCTCAACTGTGACAATACCTAGCACAAGGTATTTCAGAAGGTGACTCCTATTTAACACAGCTGTACAGTTACATCTTCAGCTCTTAAAACATCATGTTTGCTGCAGGATACTATTGATGAGGCCGCTGTAGTGGTATGATCCTTGGAGAAGAAACACATTAATGACACTGTGTGATACTTGTTCATTGTCAAGCATGGTGCTTCTCTGCCCTTATACTAGTAGTAACAGCCAGACCTAGTGCTTGGATTGCTTCCTGACAACCCCAGGACTTTGGAAATGGAAACTGAAGGACTCTGTACAAAATAAATGGGCAACTATTGAGTCTGAAAGCTAAAGCTAACTCGTCAGAAGGCAGGGCGGTCTTGTGTAGTTTTTTGGGGAACACATTACAGCTTTTTCACTGTCATAAACCTGATACGAATCTTCCTCTCAGTCACAAGGAATCAAGTTAGAGCATCTTAAAAATTGACTGTCTCTCAACTAAGAAGTAATAACAAGCTGTACACATACCCCTAAGTGGGACCAAAGTTAAAGTAAGAAGGCTTACCTTAAACTACATTTTAAAAACGTTAACTCCATAGACTCTGCTAACACAGCAGCTTGCAATCGTATGGACATACTCTCAGTTGCTGCTTCCTAATCGCTGAATTGATACCAATGTTTTGTGCTATCACGGCTTTTTTTTTTTTTTGTGGCACTTGGCCTGTCAGAAAGGTCATAAGCCTTTCTGAGGTAACTGTTCTGCTTGCTTTGGCCCATAGTAAACTTATCTCAGAAACAAGTGCTATCTACAAACAGCTGGCTGCAGATGTGTGGGGTGGTCCAGTTGGCACAGAGTGACAGCAATCCGATTGAACATGAGAGCACGTCTCATCAGTCACACCTCCTGAAAAGCAAACAGCCAAGCGCAGGAGAAGGACACTGATGTTTGCTTAGAAGGCAACAGCACCCCCCACCCCCCCAAAAAACCAACCCACAACTGCTTAGCAAAGCTTTTACAAAACTAATTTCACAAAGTGACAAAAGTGCAAAGGGGGAGGGTATGAAACAAGAAGAGGTGATTTGCTGAGGGATGACAGGTACGCGGGGGATTGTGTACACAGAATTGTGTAAAACTGGGCTTGCACATTCTCCCCCTCCCCCTCCCTTTGCCCCCGAAACACGCCTGAAGGTTGCTGGGCTCAGCTTCTCGCGCTCGCCCCGGCCGGCCCCGGGCCGCTGCTCCGTCCCGTTTTCCCGCGGGCAACTCCGGGAAGGTAGAGCGCCTCAGGCACCCAACGGGCGGTGAGCGCCCCGTACAGCACCCGCCGGCACCCGGCCCTGCCCCGCCGGAGCCCTGGGGGGTCACCGAAAGGAAGCGGGATAGGGGCGTGAAAGCGCTCCGCCGCGGCAGTTGCCCCTGACCCAGGCCCAGCCCTCGTCCCTCGCCAGGGCAGGGAGGTGGTTCCGGGCCGCCCTCCCCTCAGCGGCCCCGCCCCGCCCTTACCT